GAAGCGTGTGCGGAAAAAATGAACGGCAAACATTCTATAAAATGAAAGATATTACTGTAACAATATTTTCGAAATACGGTATATACATTATAACATGAAAACTCTCATTAGTTTTACTTTACAGAATTGTTTATGATAAATCATAAAATTAACTCGAAATGCTAAGAAAGAAGAATAAAAAATAATTATAAAGCACGCAATTCGTAGAAAAATTTACATAATAGAAAAAAGCACATCGATTGGTAAAAAGTCACAAAACATAAAATGAAACGCTGCATTCTCTATTATTTTCAATGATCTTTTTTGTTACTTTATAATGAATCGCTTAATTCTGCAATTCAGAGACGTAAATAAACGATAATGTTATTACTTTTTATTTTAACTACCTTAACGATTTCTTTTCAAAAAGTGACGATTTGCGCTTTGTAACGATTATTTTTTGTAACTTTGTAACGAAAACTAATTCTAATAAAATAATTTCTTCTTCCACTTTTTCAAAACCACAAATGTATTGGTTTGTTTTCATTGTGTACGTTGCATAGAAACTACCCCAATGATCTTTTGTGGGCAGTTTTCTACCTAGTTATTATAGCTTTAAGGTATCATGATAAAATTACTAAATTTTATCACGTTTTCTTTTATCACATATTTTAAATCCATATATTATTGTTGATTTTACCAGAAAATTACTCAGTTTTTCAGTGTTCCTATAGAGCCAGAAAATCAGTAAATTTGTATCCTTAACCATGTTTTTTTTTTCTTAGCGTATAAGTTTCAATTCTTTCCTCGCCGCTACAAGCAGAATTTATTGCAATATAACCGTCATATGTGGTTAATCATCAGTCAAAACTTTGATCAATTTCTTACTAACCAGAATGCTTAAACCTGATCTACAGCTCGATACCTAATGATAGTACATGATACAATTGTATTCTGAATGCTGCAAGAAGATTTATTTCCCAATTATCTCTTATTTTAAAATCATATCTAAACATGAACAAACTAACAGAAGAAAAATTTAAAGAAATAGAAAATAATAAAAGAAAACAGGCAAAAATTTCTCAGACTATGTTTCTCTAGTATACTGAAAGGAAGAAGATAATTCCATTCTTGTCTGGCTTAAAACAGAAAACTCTATGTTCATAACCTTTGTTATAAACTTCTATTACTACCCAAAACTCCCCTCACGTCTTTCGAAAGTGATGCAGCCTACGTTTTTTTTCATAGATGGGACAAAAATTGATGTTTTTTCATTTTTTCAGTTCACTTGGAAAACACAGTTTTCGACTTTTTATCAAAAATAAAAATAAAGTCAAAATTAAATCGACTTTAATGTACTTTAGGGGAAACTAAAATTTAAAGTTTTTCTCTTTTATTTAGCACAAGTTTTATTTTAAGTCAAAGGATTTTAAATTATTGAATTTTTCTAATCTTTTTTCATAACAAAGACATTTAGTTCCAATGGGGTCCCTGATTTCTTTTTTTCTTATGATTTTTTTTATCAACATCTATTCTTTACTTGTTTATAGCTTCCAAAAGAAAAATTCCAAAAAAGAGGGATGAGAAAATAATGCATTTAAGTTTTCTGCTTGAATCGAAACATAAAAGACGTTATTTTTAAGATTAAAAAAAATAGATGAAAATAAAAAATTCATGATGGAAATAAAATGAAAGCAGCGAATGTTTCTTTGTTTTATTTATCTTCATAGCAAAAATATGTAACTTTAGAAATTTCTGTGACAGAAATGTTATTAGTTCTGATTTTAAACTGATTACTTCTTGCTTTGAAGTAAGAATATGTTTTCGAAAGCTTTAAATTTAAAAAAATGCCTACTTCTAAATCGTATGATTCGTTCGCATCATATGTCATGATAAAAATAATTAAATTTGATACTAAGTAAAAAAAATAGCAAACAGTATACTGCATAATTAAAGTATCAAAATTTAAAAGTTTGATATTTAAAAGTTTGATAAAAGTTTCATAATCTTCCTAAACATAGCAGTTTTTAACGCAAAAATTTTGAAACAATGACAGAATTCATTGTTTTAAAATAAATGATGAGGAGTGAATGTTAGGCTTTTATCGTAACCAGTACCATTTGAAACAAAAAACCGACGTATGAAAATAAACATATTTTTTATATTCAAATTCATAACTACCTCTTCGAAAAATAATGTTCTTTTACAAGTTTTATAAGTCACTAAGAAAATATCACAATTAAGGATTTTTGGAGAATCTCCGTTTCTTTTTCTGATCATCGATAAATCAAAAAAGTAAAAAGAAATTAATGCTAAGAAATGGTTTATACCACAGAAAATTATGCATTTCTGCTTTTAAAGCATTTTTCAGTTGGTCCTTTTCAGGAATGATTCTGAAAGTCCCATAAAAAAAAACCTACGGACATTAATAGACTGAATACTAATATACAGGGAGACAAGCACTAATGGGTAAAATAAAATTATGATTTATTAGCGTGAAGCAGATTTATTAGTAAATCTTCACAATCAGCGGTATTCACTCTACACTGGGGAAAAAAGTATGGTTAAAATTATCAGAATGTGGTAGCATTTACAGGGTACCCGACTTTATGGAAACAAAAAAAAGATCGGTTACTTTTACTGAAGCTCTTTGGTAATGATTTTGTTAAATTTAACAAAAAAATATGATTTCGTAATATGGTAAAATACCACATTAAAATGTGATTTTATAATGTAATATCAATAAATGCTATAAAATTTGGTAACTTTATTATGAATTGGACATGGTATGAAAACTACTTATTTGGTTAAATTTAATTTTTAGTTTTGAAATTTTTACTAAATGTGTATTCTATTTATTAATGTTAGTGATTTTACTTAACTAACATTAATGGAATAAAGAAAAGAGTGGGAATTGCTGCCGTCCTATAAAGTTTCAAATTGTAATCTATAAAACCTCTTATCCATTTCGAATAAAATAGCGTTTAAAGAAATAAGTTGCTTTCCTGGTAATTAATGCATACAAGTGTTTCAGCTCTAAAAGATATCTCCAAATATCACATAACTTCGAAATTAATAAATATTATAGCATTTTTAAACATATCTAACAGAATATAATTTTATGAACTATGGTTTATTTTTTAAAAAAAACATTTTGAACAACAAAATGAAATAAAAAAGAAAGCCATTAAAAACTATTAAAAGATGCTTTGCATTTAGTTTTTTATTTAAAATCGAATATTTAAATGTTATTTCACTATATTTTATTAAAACTAGACTTATCAACTCTCTTCCCACATGATTGTTTTACAAGCATTTTGATCTCTTGATGATTTAAAGAGTTCAACATTTGAATCTAAATATTATTAAATAAAAAATCTCTCAAATTTTTTGGTTTCGTAGATTTAGTTTCCATTTTGATAGGGAAAATATTTTAAATTTATTATTTTATTTTCTCTATTGCCATTGCAGCATCATGCATAAACTTATTTTTAAAATTCTTGTTTAGTTGTAAAGGGAAAAAAATTCGCCAAACAGATTATGTAAAAAAATATACAAAAAAATTAATAATATTGTTTTGGATTTTTAGTCAAATTGTTTTTGTTATTTTAATTGCATACCTTGGAGACTGGTACACATTATATCTGTTCTGGTCACAATGTCCTTTCAGTTTCGATAACCAAATAATACCTCTGGGAGTACTGGATACGAGATTGGTCGCACTCTGGTTCAGATTGTAATTTAAATCTGCGGATGGATAGGGCGTGGATGTGTCCTCTCTGTCTGTGAAATATAAGTATGGCAGAAGTCGAATTTTTGACCATAGATAACGACACTGGAAAACAATAAAAAGTGCACCTCTCTGCCTTAAAATAGCCTCGTCAGTATTGACAAGTGGCAAAGGAAAACAATTGCATAGTTTGACTGAACACTAATACTGGCTGAACACTGCTCATAAAATTTAACTTATCTCTACATAACTGATTAAAATATAATAATAAATAAAACTTATAGCAAACATGACTTATCAGAAAGTAAAAATAACTTATTTACTGCTAAATTGTTGTAAAACAGTAACTAAATATCCATATCTCAAACTGTACCATAATAAGGTAACGTCGAACAATTACTATAAGGAAATAACACCTATATTTGTAAGCCTTTATTTCAAAATTAACGGTTTAGTAATAAAAAATAATATTAGGGAATGATAAATAAATATAAATAACTTTAAATAAGGGATAAGTAAGTAACTTACAGGTAAATAGCTAGTTGAATTTAATTAGCTTTTATACTGATAACAGCTTAAGATACTGCATGTTCGCTGTTTAGTTATGATCATATAATGGGTTTTTTATGAAATGTAGAGATATATCATAAACTTTCAACGATTTTCATTGGTTGAAACTAAGGTTCCTATACAATCAATATTTTCTAATCAGTCTAATTCAGGGGCTCTAATTAATACGACGCAATCAAGTGTTTTTTGTCTAAAATTATTTATGTATAGTGAGCAATATTAAATATTTTAGAGAGGCGTTAACTAATAGCAATTTTAATAAACTTTGAAAATTTTACAGCTTCTTTAATGAAAAAAAGTTACATTGTTTGATTGTCTTTATTTCTAATCCAAAATAATAAAGTAATAGAAGTTTATGAAGAATTATTTATTTTACCAAAACTTTATAGTAATAAATGTATGCCTAAAGTAAAAACAGTTAAAGTGACTAAAGTTTGCACATTTTTAAGCAGCTCTAATTACTTTTGTATAATCTAACCACTTATTTATAACGCAAAATAAAAAGTCATTAAAGTTAACAAAATAATTATTTATTTCACCAAGTTTTTACTGTACATCGATAAATGTATGCCTGAATTAAAAACAGTTTCAGTGACTTAATTTTGCACATATATAAACAGCTCCAACTACAATAAGCGTATCTTAAAAGGCAACAATTATTACCATATTTCAATCCGACAATAAAAAATAATTCATAATCACGAAAATAACTTTCCTCAGTTGCAAAGTTAATAAAATTTGAGAAATTAAGGAAAGTACTTGACAGAATCCATGGGAATGTAAGCATGAACTTAACACTTACTTTTAAGAGTTTTTAAATGGACGAAGCTCCGAAAAATTTTAATTAAAACCCTCTAAAATATTCAAAATCCATTTTTTCGAATAATTATTTTTGTAGAATTTTTAACATTATTAGAACAATAATTATTGAAGAAATTTCTCAATGACAGAGGCGACTTCTTACTACCAATCTTTTTCTTCTGTCGCCAGCTCCTTTTAAAGGTGATGCACTTCCAGAATCATTATCGGTGGATTCACCTACAACAAAAAGTTCATATTTTGTTATTAAAAGAAAAGTAAAATATCAAAGTTGTTACTATTTACTTTTGTAATTTACATGGGAAGTACGATAATTTTTAAAACTATGACATGAAACATGACTGATAAATCTGTGATGTTGCTACATCACACATGCGTTGTTTTTCTACTCCTCAATAGTTTTTTCAGTTTTCGTTCGTTTAACCGCAATAACCCAGGTTGTTGGAATTTAGGATAAGGAAGACCAGAAAGAAATGACATTTTTACATTAAATTTAAATAGATAAATAAAATTTTTAAAGCATTTTAATTCGTAATTGATAATGTAACAAGCTTTAGTTATCTAGTGTGCAAATTTTCAATGCCTAAAAATCTATTTGTTCTTGGTCCCTCAGTGGACTGATCGTTAAGACACGATTCCCAGCAGATCACCGAAGTCAAGCATCACTGGCTGCGGTCAGTGTGCGGGTGGGTGACCACTTATTGGTCCTCGTTAAACTGTTCAACCGTAAAGTGCTCGACTTCGTGTGCAGGTTGTCGGGCTACCGAAGCGGGAGTGCCATCCCCTCTGCAGAGGATCAAAATTGTGATGGCATGTCTTCGGATCATCCATAGGGATACTTCCCAGACCGTCGCCAATAGCCTATTGCGCAGCTCTAGGGTGACGTAAATGAACTACAACAACTAACTGTTTTTGAGAAAAATGTTTGGACATTATCGAAATTTTTTTAATTTTTTGACAAATAGAATACGTTGTAGCGAACCGAAAAAAAAATGAAAATATGATGTTCAACATTCGGCGAGTGTAATGGATGAAGCACTAGTACCTCTCAGCCCAATGACCAAATTATTTCCAATGTGTGGTCTGCTTAATTAGTACGAGTAAAAAAAAATCAAAATTATCGGATTTAAATTTAGAAAAACCACCTTTAGCATTAATGAACGTCTAATGCTCTTGGATGAATACCGCAAATAATTTTAGCAGCATTGGTAGTGTTACTGCTTTTGTGAAAACCCTTAAAGCATACAATGCATGCTTGCTTTTTCTAGTTCTTACCAAGCCATTTCCCCATAAATTGAAAGTAATAATAATAATAAATAATGAGATTTAAATATTTGCGGTTAAACAAGTCAATCTCTAATCTTAAAATGTTTTGGGACTGTTTTGCAGTACACAATAACCAATAAATGACAAACAATATCGCAATGCACATTAGAAACGATCAATAATATTACTTCTTCACCCTTATTAATTGCATTGTTTCCATAAGAAGTATTTACTTCGTGAAAACCATCACAGATACAATTTTTTAAACGTTTAAAAAAGTTTTAAGGTTTGTTAAATTTATGCCTATCAAAAAATAGAGTATACCTCTTGATGCTAAACTTGGACTTCTGCAAGGACTATGAGCATCTCCTATTATATCTACTGCACCATGCCGACGTCGTTCCTTTGAATTTTTTCGACTTCCATGTAGATTTGAGATTTTCTCCATTTTCTTGTAAATATCTTTGGCTAAATTCTTCGTGTCGCTGCACACCTTTAAAGGTATAAAGAAAACATTTAGAGATATATAATTTTCGGTTGTTATCTTTTCGGAAAATATCTTCGATAACATTCTTAACACGGAGAAATTTAGGAATATTATAAGGTGTAACAAATATAATAGATATTTATATAGAAAAGATATTTTTTTGAATCATTTTATTGAATTCTTTTATTTTTCAATGATCATTTATGCTATTAATATTCATTTAGTTAGAGATAAGGATTAAAATGAAATTTTAAATATCTTAATAAGTCAAATGGCTAATGTGATAAAAACCAAAAAAATTACAGGCTGTTATACTGCTTAAATTTTACTATGATTTAAAAAATATTTTAATTTCTTTAAAAATAAAACTATACTCTAAATACTCTTTTCTACACTCAACTCAAATGAGAGGTCGTTCAAACGTTACGTAAGCACCTAATGTAGGCAGGATATCTGACTAGAAACTATCTAGTCTAATAAGAAAATTAGTATATTTTCTTTGAAATTATTTATAATATTGACGTACCAAAAATATTTTACCTATGAATGAATAATTTAAAAGAGAAGAAAGAAATATTTATGATTTCTTTGAAGGGAGCAAAAATAAAACATGGAAAGTCATCTATGATTTTCGATTTTATGCTAATGAAATGTCGGATTCCTTTGTACTTACAAAGGAATCCAATATGCAATCAGGGAATAACAATATGCAAATATATACATGACAGTAGTATCACGTACAAAATATATATATGTATAGTGCACTGGCGGGACTTTTATTTGTGTTCAAATTATACATCTGAGAATTTTCTGACGTAATTATGATCGCAAGACGAGAATTAACAGACATTAAGCCTAGAACGGTGGAAGCATAGGATGTCCCAGTTTGGAAATTGTGATGAAATTCAAGGTGATGAAATTCCTAGATCTATCGAGTCAAGACTTCGCCATGAATACCGCATTTCAGTAATGACCTTTCCCCATGGACAACATAGTGCCAGCCGCCTGCACTAAATGACCGAGACCTCCAAAGTATGCTTACAATTGTCAATATTAACAGAGACAAGTGACATAACGTGCAATAACCACAAACATCAATGCTGGAAGTTAGATCGGTGTGGCGAAATATGGTTGTAACGGAATATAACAACAGAGTGTCGACTTAAAGTGCAGTCCTTACGGACCAATGAACCCAAATTGTCAGCAAGGCATCGCGTAATCTAGTGGTGCCTCCATAATGGCGTGAACTGCATTTACACAGCATGAACTGGGCCCTATGGTCCGATTGCACCAATCATTGACTGGAAATGGTTACTACTTGGAAAGCACTTGTAGCCTGAATTTTTATGGGTGATAATGTGATAGATACTAGGCCGTTATTCTTCGCGACTGATTTGAAGAAAGTTCTGGACGATTCCAGCAAATAATTAAGCCCCCAAGATTATCCCGCTGATCATTTATGGAATATAATCAAGAGGTCAGTGCCAGCTCAAAATCTTGCACCCGTAAGACATCCATTTAGGCTACATGACAGAATATTCCAGCAAGAGACTTCCAGATACTTGTTGAGTCCATATCACGCAGAGTTACTGCACTTCTTAGAGCTAGAGTCTCATGATTTTGTAGAGCTTGGACCCATAGAACTTAGACCCACGAATTTTGTCATCTCAGTGTATAAAACTGCATACCTTTTTTCCAGAAGCTGTTTATTTAATCAAAATATGCTCCGATTGCTTCAATATACTTTTCCCAATAAGATTTTAATGCATAGATCTTTCGAATCTTATCTTCAAAATCAATAAACTTCTCTGACAAGGAATTTTTCCGACTGTCTTTATTTCGCACTATTTGGTCCAAAAAAATTGTTCTAAAAACATGAATTTCATTTAGCGAAAGATCCGGTGCATAAGCTTCTATCAACACTGTGAACTAGTTTAAGCGACTTCATCAGAGCAATTTTATTAATGTAATTTGCTATCAGCATGCTGATAATTTTGTTGAATTCTTTGTAAATTGATAATCTGTTTATATAAACAAGGCATAAAGCTTTATCATGTCCTCTGCGGCTTAAATTTTAAACAAATATGAAAGTTTCTGATATAAATTCAAACATTTAAAAAAAAAACTAATTTTTGACGTTGATGTAGAAAAAAAGAGAAACATTTGTGAATTTTTCAATAAAACGACTTATAGGGATCTACTTAAAAATTAGTGACCATTTAGAAAATATCTAGTGGCAGCCCTGAACTTACCTTTAGCACATGATTACCCACATTTGAAGATAGAGAACTGCTGCTTTTGCTTACTTCAGGGCTACTTCGAGGACTTTTAGAAGAATATTTCTTACGAAACCGAAACATTCCATTCGGGGTACTCGTTTGGCGAGCTGTCACAAAAGAAAACTCAGACGAGCTTGGTACTTTGGACATCAGTTTTTGGTAAGTGGGCGAAAATTTAAAACTCTTAAGTTCAATTTTGAAGAAACTTAAGTAGTGATGCCATGTGAAACCATTTCCTTGATTACTTTGGGCTAAATTGAAGCAGCGATAAAAGCGAGCTATATCATCACAGCTATTAGTTCTGCGCACTGGAGGTTCATTATATGGTAGGTATCGGACTTCTTCTTTCAGTCCTTCTGGGAAACTGGCAATTGAAAGTCTGTCATAATTGATATCATAATCAGCATTTCTATACATATCTTTATATTCCTAGATGGATCTACATATCATCTAAAAATCAAAACATTACATGGTTAAAAACGTACTACTTTGAAACGATTTTTTAATTTATACTTATTAGCCCTAAGTCATCTCTCAAATATCTTAGACATACTTGCGTTATATGTTCATTATCTCAAAAATCTTTGTGGATAATAACTTCAATTTACCGCCAAAATTTTAAGGAAATTTGCTTCGAAAAGATTCAATTTCTTAAAAATTTTGAAGGGATATTTCCAGTCTCCACGTTTAAAAATCGCAAGAGCCAGTACACATTCCATTATTTTTGGGTGTATAACTTTACGTTAGATTTCATTTTGCTAGCAAAAACTATAAGATTTAGAAACATGAGATTACGCAGATGTGTAGAAAATTCTTCAGGGAGAAAATAGGAATTAAAAAAAAAATTCATATTCGATAGCTAGTTTGAAAATTATTAACTGTTAAGCTGTTCAATTTTCTTACAGTGTTTCATGCGTCATTGAAGGTCAGCTTTATATATTCGACCGCTGAACGACTAATAAGCTCGAACAAGTGAGATGGTAGGGTACACTGCCGTCTTTTACTGTGAGGAAAACCACGAAAACTTCCCACTGCTAGTAGGGGAGCGTTAACTCAAGATCCATATACCACCAAGGATATTTTAGCTCCGCACAGTGGTCGGTGCAAGTCAGGGGCGAAATTCGTATCGACCAGCCATCGCTGGAATTCGAACCCGGTTCACTTCATTGAAAGGCGAACGCTCTATCCCCTGAGCTACTATAGTTCAAACTAGCCTTATATTTTATTTTATAACCGTAGTTGAACATTCTACCCAATGTTTGGGCTTACGACTACCAATGTTCTACTCCGTATCCTTGTAATTTTGAACCCAATCCAGAAGACAGGGGAACTCCAGGATCAAGAAGAGAAAGAAATTTTGCCTTCGTGGTGGACTCTTTAACGGAACTAACCTGTATTTGCGTTACATAGAGAGGAAAATCACGCAAACCTACCATTATTAGCCTGACGGATATTGGACTCTAAGCCAGACTACTAATAATGTAGATGCTACACCATTATCAAGGCAACAATAGCCAGATTATAAGTTATAAGATATTTTATGAATTTTTGAATCGAATATTTTCAAGGAAATTTTTCGCCCCCCGACGAGGTGACCCGGGTTCGAATCCGAGTGATGGCTGGGATTTTAATTTCCCATACGGCTAGCACCGACTACAGGCCTGACGGAAAAATATACTTAGTGGTAGTGATATAAAAATATACTCAGTGGTAGACGGATCATGCATCAAAGTCCCCTTGCCGCCGGACTAAGCCTGAGAGCTCGTGATTTTCCTCTCCATGTATCACAAATGCGGGTTAGTTCCATCAAAAAGTCCTCCACGAAGGAAATTATTCCCAATACTTGATCCAGTATTTTGAGTTGAACATTGGTAGTCGAAAATTTAAAATAGGACCGGCTCTTCACAGCTAAGGTTATAAAATAAAATAACATATTATGGAGAAAATGATGAAAAACACTATGTGAACTGCAAATATTTCTGAAACACAATGGAAATCTTTCTTTGTCGCGAAATTTAGAAATGATAATAAATGGATTAAAATTATTTAAAAACAAAAAAGAGCTATTTATTAAACCTTCATCTTTACGCGACGCACAATCTTAACCATTTCCTGATTCAGAGCTTAATTGGATTTGACGGTTTGGCTGAATTTATGCATCCTAAACAGATTAGAACTCGTTTTTGTTTCAATAATTTTTATGATTCTTCTTCTAAACGAACAATTATTTTTATTTTTTCTCATTTATTTTTCCCCTGAGATATCGAAAACACTTGACTATGCTATTTTTATTCTTCTTTTTCTAACACATTAAAAAATTTATGTTTACTCATTTTTTAATGTTACTTACTTTATAAAAATAGCACATTATAAGTTTACAGCCAGATATTCATTTGAATATTAAATACAAATTCGAATAGTATATTAATTAGTGATCAGATACCATCAGATTTAAAGCATTTTCTATGTTATTGAAATTCTTACTGTCAAGTTCAATTCATTATACAATTAATATGATTATGTTATATACATGCTTGTATAAATAAAGTTTGCGCAGACTAGTGTATTTAATAAATACGTTACTACTTTATAACATATTTGTTATATTATTACTATAATAAACTAATATAATAATATAATTCATAAATATTTTTTTGCAAATTTGCAAATTACTTACCAAAATTGCGATCAAGAATATCTCAAAAACATAAATGAAAATACTTAAAAACTGTTGCCATAGAAACCAATAAAGTAGTACCTTTACAATTAATTTTCATTTCTGAATAAATAAATGCATGTAGATGGAGTAAAACGAGATGATTTTTACACAATTCATAAAGCTTAAGGCTCCTATACTATCAGAGCTGACCTATCAAGCAATATTGGAGCAAAAAAGTTTGCAAGTCAACGTTATGTTAGCATTGTGCTTATGTTAGCTCTTTAGAGCAAAAATAGATGATAATAAAGCTTAATAATGCAAGTGACGTTGTGTGGGTATCTCGATCCTAATTGGTTGTTGAAACGTCAAATTTACTTACGTTAACAATTGGGTATACTATAGCCTACGTCACAGGTTGTGTTATTCCTACTAAATTTAACCCATGAACGGTATTTTCTGCGAGCCTAACTTCAAGCCACAAATAAACAAACGAAGTGTTTGATCGTTTAAATAGCTGCTCGCCAGATTTTATTGCATTATAAAGAAAAGTAATTGATATTCGATTTTTGATTAATAATTGATTTATGTGGATAGTGGCATTTATGTGGATAGTGGCATAGAATTTAGCATTGCGTCATGGTAAATGTTATTCCTACTAAGTGGAAGTAGTTGTGTTTTTTTATATTATACCCAATTGTTCTTTCCATTCTAAGTCAAAGCCGTCAAGTATCAATTTTCTTAATTGATTCTTTCACAAAGATTTCAATTATTTCCCTTTATATTTCTTACTTAACACAAGGACAGGAACGAAGCCATGTAAGACATAAATGAACTAATCATGTATTAAAGTTGTCAGATACACAACGCAAAAAATATATCACGGTTACAATAAAAGACATGAACAAATAATAAATCTAAGTCAAGTGAAAGATGTAGATGAGAAAAAATTATATTTCAACGAATTTAATGTGTGATATGACTCTGTATTTAATTAATTTCACGTTATTTAAAATTCTAACTTATTTGGATAAGCTTAGCTCAACTTTAACAACACCTTTTGCTTACAAATTATCAGCTGGCGCTGACGTCATAGGTCACATGTTTGGAGTATTTGTGATCTACTTCTTCTTGAAGTACAAATGAGATTCTCTCTTGAGACTTTGAGGAGTAAGGTTGTGTTGTGACCGAGCTCCCTAGCTACAATGTCTACTACGCACAGATTCGGACGTGGAGGTAAAAGGATGTTTAAGCACGAGTTTCCTCCCGACTACAACTCAGACTCTGATTACGATGGAATGAATGAACAGGACCAACAAGACGCAAAAAGGAATTACGTGGACTACGCAGATAGAACAGCCACACTAGAAACCATCGATAATCTGATTAGCGACGCTGAACGCCAAATTAAATTCTTCGAATGGAGATTCAACAGAAACGGAAAAATGATACACTACGACAATCATCGCAGATTGAGAATTATCAGAGACAGATACNAAAAAAATCAGATTTTGGTCATTGCGTGAATATTTTTTATCTTAAAAATATATTCTAACTGTTGAAATTATTTTTTTTTCTATATACTGGTGACAATATTATGCATTTAAAAAATATTCTACCTATACATTTTTATATTCAAATCAATTGATTTACATACTTTTGTTCCACTGTTAGTAAGTTCCATCATGTTTGGAATATAATTTCTATCATAATAATAAAACTGTACAAAATCAATGATTCTATTCTCATGTAATATCTTTCATATCGAGAATTCAATTTGAAATTAGTAATCCTGAAATGTAAAATTTAAACATACCTCAAATGATTTTCCTTATCTTCCTAATCCAAAACAGTTAATCTTCCTAGTATATAATTAGAAAACAGCTGTTTAATCTTTATTCACTGAACGAACGAACGCTATTTTCTTTCATAAGATTTCAAAAATATTCCGATTGAAAAAGAAAACACTTCAGATCAGTTTTTATTATACTTAAACATTTGAATCATTCGTGTTCTTAAAAATGTTATTTGCGTCATTTTTTCTCTTTCTCTTTTTTAATTATTTTGATTATAGGAATATATTTCAAAAAAATATCTGTATTGTTCATAAAAAATTTTTTATAAGTTTTTCTAACTTAATTATAATTGTAGAAAAGTATCGATATTTAACTTATTCGTTTATTATGAACAGTATTAAGTATTTTAATCAACTCATTAAATGACTTTCAAAATGTTAATTTTATTTATTTTAAATGAAAAAAATAACAAATTTTCTTATTTTTTATTCTTATTATTTTTTATTTATTTTTTCTTATTATTAACAATTTCATAAATGGAGGGCTTTCGGAATCGTTTGACAATTCGCGACCGCAACGACCTATATGGGGCGTTGTTATTTCAGACGAATGTCTGCTTACTCAACATCATGATCATTTGTTGCACTGGAGGTTTCTTCAGTGCAGCATGGTAACGTTCCTTCGTTATTGTGGCTTATTAAATAAAAAAAAAATTTTTTTGACATTCTTTCTTAGGCGAGTGAAAACGAAATAGAATCTCTTCTTTTCAGGGAAGGAACATCAGACACACATCGAAAAATATTAGTAAAAAATCTTCTTATTATAGTTAAGACCTAGTGAGTGAGAAATCGTTCTATTAAATTTAATAATCTAATATGAAGGGTCCATTTAAACTTTACATTCCATACTTTTCTGAATCATATTACTTCAAACATTAGAACATGGAAAAAGTATACAGAAACACACAATATTGTACCATTTAATTTTGCAAAAAAAGTTTTTCAACATAACATGACACACAACAAAATTTTATAATTGCAAGATCTCGATCTTAATTTCAGTATGTAACTTAAAAACTGAATAGCTGAATTCTAGTTGAAATTATTCATTAAAAATTAAAAAATACTTTCCAAGAAAACGATAAAAATTTATTAATAATCAACACA